AGGCTGAGAACTGAGAGAAGATAGGGTCCCCTACCCCTGGCACAAGTGCCCACACAGGGTTTCCTCAGGCTGTGGGATGGGGCTCTGAGGTGGGAGGTGACCCCTTCCTATCTCCAATCCTGTCTCAGGCACTATTAGCTGGGATGTGCTAATGAAAATTCACACCCAGGTGCTAATAAACAGTGGGCTGCTCCTGCTCGGGGAGGAGAGGGTCTCCACAGGGAAGGGGCTGGCCAGTGAGCCCCACTTATCTGTGAAAAGACTTGCTAATGACCTTAATTCCCAGTCCTAAAATGCAAGGCTTTTACCATGCTAATAGGTTTTCTAAGCTGGGTTGCCTCCAGCCCGCCCCAGTTAGGGTCCTGGGAGGGGAGAGAAAGATGGGGGGAGGTGCAGGAAAAGAGAGGTAACCAGCAGAGGTGTGAGATCCCGCCACCTGCAGGCATCAGACAGCCAGGGTGTGCCCTGCTCAGCCTGGACCCCTGAACTGCAGATGAGGGGCCCAATCCCACTCTGCATTAAAGCTCTTCCCTGACCAGAGCCTAAACAGTGGAAATGATCTCTGGGGGCCTTAGAAACAAGCACACTCCATCAACAGATGAAGGGGTAAACAAGCTACTGTGCTAGGGGATATTAACATCAGGACCCACATCCTGATACAGCAAGCAACACAGATGGGCTGTAAACATGTGTAGTGAAAGCAGCCAAGCAAAAGGCCATGTATCATGATTCCTTTTATATGAAATGTTCAGAATGAACAAAACTCTGGAGACAGAAAGTAAATGACTGGCAGGGGCTGGGAGGGAAGGGATAATGGGGAGTGATGTTAAGGGGTACAAGGTATGGGGGGCAAAAATTAGTGACAATGGTTGAACTGTACACCTTAAAAGGATTAATTTTATAATATGTGAACTCTCTCTCAACAAGTTTCTTTTTTTTTTTTTTTTGCCCTCGGTAGAGTGCTGTGGTGTCAAAGCTCATAGCAACCTCAAACTCTTGAGCTCAAGGGACTATCTTGCCTCAGCCTCCTAAGTAGCTGGGATAACAGACAACTACCACAAAACCCAGGTAGTTTTTTCTATTTTTAGTAAAGACAGGGTCTTGCTCTTACTAAGGTGGCTCATCAAAGTTTTTATAAAAACAAACACTGAGGCCTGTATTCCAGACACTTGAAGGGGAGAAGAGAGCTAGGTATCTATAGAAAGTGAGGGATCTTTGGCAGAGACAGCACCCTCCACGCTTAACTGCTCCTTAGGCCTGATGGCAGGCTGAGGTCACACTCTTTCTGAGCTCAAGGCTCCCCTCTCCCTCTACACAGTGCTCCCTTGATCTGAACCCACCTACTCAAAGGCCAAGGCCAGCTGTGTGGATTTGACTACAATCGCACAGGCCTCATCTCATGCTAAGAGGTGTCTAAGAGGTCATAACCTCAGGACTGCCCCACTTAAGTCCCTAAACCCACATGAGAAGGAAACCACAGAGAAGAGAGACGGGGAAATCCCAGGGTCCAAGGCCAGGATGCTCCAGCCCAAGGGAAATAAAGCCTCAGAACACAAGGAAATGACCCACTGGAACCCGTGCCCCTTCAGGCCCCAGAATGAGTGGAGCTAACAAAACCCTCCAGGGCTGACAGCTGATCCTCCTTTTTCTGTAAGTGGCTATTTGGGTATAACAGGCATAAGGTACCTGATATACAGTAAGTCCTCAATGAAAGAGTTGTATTTTCTACAGAAATATCTTGGTTGTATCCCACTGTAGATCACGTTCAAAGGAAAGATGAATAAATTCTACTTACGGCCCATGAGAAAATGGCCACTTTCTCATGAGGTTGACCCACCTGGAACAGGAGATGCTAGGCCAGGGCTGGAAGAGGGGTCTGGACCTGTGGGATGTGGGGAGTGAAGACTGTAAGAACCACTCCCAACGCCCTCCTGTTCTTCTATGAAGGGGAGAGAAGGAAGTGTGTGTCCACTTAGAAAAAGAAGAAATTACCACCTAACACCACCACAATTTATTCACAAATAAATTCACACTAGGCCGAGACTCCCACCTACATCAAAGTGTCTACCCATGGGTCCCACCATCAAGGGAAGGGCACAGGAAGGCAGTCCTGGGTGGCACCGGCTCTCACCCACAGCAATGTCGATGCCTGTATCGCAGGTGACCTCTTCCAGGAAAGGCAGTCTGGAGAGGAACCATTTCCAAGGTGCTGAAAACAAAAAGCCTCAGTGCTCACTGACAGAAGGGCATCAGCTGTCCGCTGTCACGTGGGTTCCTCAGGCCAGAAGCCACTCCAGAGGCGAGAGGCATCTGCGGGGACAGAAAACAGCGTAGCCCTCAGTGGGCTCTACACAGGCATACTACTTTGTGCGGAGCGAGAGCTGGTGAGGCCAGGCCACAAGAGGGATGGGGAGGGCTGCTGGTCCTCGCAGTAGGGTTGCGTGCTGGGCGCAGACAACACATGCGCCACCCCCGACCGCGGTTGGAGTGAGCCCCGCACGGGGAAGAAGGTACCAACCGGATGGAGGGGCACGGTTCCATTGCCGGCCCTTCCCAACATGTCGCTGCGGCGTAGAGCACCAGAGGGTCGCGCGGCTCGGGCGCTACTTGGGCTCCGGAGCAGGCGGGCGGACACCCCCCAGGACGCCCCGACGTGGGATGCTGAGCTCAGGCCCAAGCCCAGCACCTGCACCTGCGCCTGCGTTTGCGCCTGCGCCTGCGCCGGGCCGCCGTCCCGGCAGAGCGGGCAGCCCTGAGTGAAGCCACATCTCTGTGCCATCGGCACCGGAGCTGAAGGCTCTCCTCACTGAGGCCCAGCATGGCCGACAGGTGGCCGATGTAGCGGATGGCCAGGCACAGCGCCTAGATCTTGGTTAGGCTCTGACCGGCGGGCGCCACGGACCGCGGCAGGAATCAACGCAGTTCGTGCAGGGGTGCGGACGAAGGGGGAGCATGCGGGCACGCATGCGCAGTTTCTTGCGCTCCGCGGCTGACCATTGCGCAGGCGCTGTGCGAGGGTGGAGGCCGGACCTGGATCCCGGCGCGGGCAGGGCGGCTCCGGTGCTACCCCACGAGTGTGGGGACGAGGTCAGGAAGCAGCCACAGTCCCTGTCGGAGGGTGGTGGCAGCCGAGCTCGACCCCGGACCGCGGACAGGATCCAGGACTCGGACAGCTGCGGGCGCAGGGGCTGGGCCATGACCGCGGCGGTCTGGGGCTGCTGGCCCGCGCCTCTTTATCCGGTGCTAGGTGTGAAGTGACCCCTTCCAGGCCACATCAACACTTCAAAGCGGGCGCGGGGCCAGAAGGAGACCAGGCCTGACCCTTTGAACCAGCGGGGGAGGAGGGATTTGAGGGGGAAGATGCCAATCCCTCGATATGTATGCCTCATTCTCCTGCCTGGGTGCCCACTTGGGCGCCGGTCCTAGCTGCTCACACCTCCTGTCCGCGCCGGTGACCGCCCGGCAAGTTCAAGGGAGCAGGGCCCACGAAATGAAGTACACGCAGTTCGTTGGTTTTCTTTCACCCTAGTTTCTAATTTGTATGAGGAAAGCATGGGGGTGTACATCAGCCCGAACTGTGGAATAGAGTAGGGACCAGACGTGGGGCCCTGATTCCCTCTAAAGGTGGAGAGACCTAGGAGCCATTCCTTCTCTGGGCAGGCTGGCTCTGGGTGGGCCCTTCCATGGTGCGGTGAGATGTGCACTGAGAGGAATCTGTACCCTGTAGATCCAACAAGCTAGCAGTATCCAGTAGGGCTACTGGATACTGAGCAGAGCACCTGGACTGGCAAGCTCTGGGGCTAAGCCTGTCACCACTGGCCTCTAACTAGCGTTCCACCACTTTTGGACAGGTATATCAGGTTTTGCCAATGAAATGTGAGGGAAATGACAAAAAGCATTTGACAAAATTCAACGCCTTAGTGATAAAAATTCTCAGCAAAGTAGGAATAGAGAGAAATTTCCTCAATTTGGTGAAGGGCATCTACAAAGAACCATAGGCAGCACTGTACTAAACAGTGAAAAGATCGATAGCTTCCCTGCTAAGGTCAAGGAGGATGTCTGCTCTCCCTCTCCCACTCCCACTTAGCGTTGTCCTAGATGGAGAGTCTGGCTATGTAATAAGGAAAGAAGTAAAAGGCATGCTGGTTAGAAAGGAAGAAATCAGACATCCATGATTGTCCACATGGAAACTCTCAAAGAATCTACATTGTCTGCATGGCCCCTAGGAGTCTGAGTTTGCACACGTCTAAATAGGCACTTGGTGCATAGTTATCTACACTTAGCTGGACTGCGGAGTATCTGGTATCGTATCATGTCTACCTGTTTCTCCTTCAAGCAGAGTGGTCTCTTTCAGCGCTGAGGATCTGATGTTTAGTGGCCCCTCTGGCTTCAGCCCTGTGAGACTGATGGGTTAACTGGTTTGTAACAGAGAAGGCCAAATGGCCTGGTACCTCTTCCTGAGCATTTCTGCCCACTACCATCCCTTCTGAGTCTTTTTTATCTCCTACTGCCCTTGGCCTCCTCTGACACCTTCTATACCCCCTCCTCTGTCCCAGCAGCCCAGAATGCCTTTGCCCTTGGTCACATCCAGGAGCAACAGTGCCAACCCCATTCTGAGGTAGAGATAGGGGAGGAGCCTACTTCCTGACCAGGATGCCTCTACTCCCAGGAAGAGCCTGGCTGCCAAAGCTCCTCCTCACCCCAAAGCTGTTCACAGGGCCACCCCTTCTGGACCTTGGCAGATGGATGCCTCCTGGGGCTCCAGATCCAAACCAAAACCCTGGTGTGAAAGCCCAGGGATTTGGGCCTCTCCTATGCTGCCAGGCCTGAGGGAACAAGAGGTTAGGGATTGGTAGAGTGTATTGTCCACTGAGGGTGGGAGGTGTAGGGGAAAGGCCACACAGGCAGAAGGTAGGATCTCAGAAGGCTCTGGGCATCCTGTTGTCCAAGGACTGCCACCCTCTTAAATATCAAAAAGGCCCTGAAATCCCATGATTGTGATTTCACTTTATAGCCAATAATTGAGAGAACTCAGAATGACCAAAAGCTCTTTATTATCATATCCTTGTTTATTTGAAAATGCAATACTATCACATGGTTAAAAAGTCAAAAAAGCCCTCTTTACCCTCCTGCCTCTGAGGCTTCCAATTGCCTGCTTGCTGGATTCTCTGAATGTTATAAAGTAAATTAGCATTTTATTAAGGATAAAGTCAACTACTACATATATTTGGGCAAGAGGCCATATGTGTGGGAGGCACACTTTTTATGTTGAAAACACAGCCCCCAAGAATGTCAGATCTGCAGCCTATTAGTTCAAATTAGTTGAGCATGTGGGAGCCACTGAGAGATGTGCAGCAGGAGAGCGGCATAAGGATGCATGACAGGAGGGTCCTTGGTGTCAGGGAGGGTTAAAAACACATGGAGGCAATTGTGCAGGCCAAGAGCCCAGAAAGGTGAGGGGAGAGAGGCAGGGCAGTAGGGGGTGGGGCAAAAGGGAGGGTTCTACCCCCAGCCCCATCCTGGGCTCCAAGGCTGACAAATTGCAGGTGACACGTGGCGTCCCTTCCTCTTGCTGTCCCCTGTGGTCTATGGGGAATTACCAGCTGCTATAAGGGCAAGGGTCAGTAGGCTTGAGAGAGCCAAGGAGGGGGGTGGGCAGCACCTCCAACCCAGATCCTGAGCTCCACCATTTCCCACCCTCCCTCTTCCCTGATCCCCATGCTTGGATGTCCCTTTTGATCTCATTATCCTGGCCAGCCTCTCCAGTGGGTTCACTTGGGAGCTGCCTGTTAATGAGTTCTCCAGGCAGCAGGGCCCACACACCCTCCTGCTAGGGTGAGGTCTTCACACTTCTGGAGCCTGTGTTTTGACAAGTGCCGAGCCAGTGACTTTTGCTCCCCTGGCCTGAGCCAACGTGTAAGGCTGGGAAATGAGGGCTTGAGGTAGCCCCACAGGAACAGAGGTGAGAGTTAAAGCCCTGGCCAGGGTGGAGGGCAAGCAGGACAGGGCAGTGCACTCTCAGGTGCAGGCCCAGGCCTCAGCCTTCCCTACAGGCCCACCCTGCTTCTTCAGGCAAGTCAGGGCTCTGGGCACTTTCCCAGCCCCTCCCATCCTTAATGCCTTCATTTCCCCACCAGCTCTCTGACATGGGAGTGCTAATCAAAGGTTCTATGTAAATACTCCCCTTGCAGCCCCTAATCCCTGACCCTGCTGGAGCCAGAGGCCCCAGGAAAAGGAAGCAGCTCTTCTCCTCCTGCCAGCCTATTTAGCATCAACAGGTACACGTCCTGGGAAGCTCCTAATTTGGGTGTCACCTGCAGTCAGGGATCGTCTCACCACACCTGTGCCCTCCATGGGAGAGACTGTTAGGAAGCCTCTGCCTGCTTTTACACAGCCTGGGTTACCCCTTTGCAGTTTGGCCAATATGGGCTAGAAACCTTGCATTGCCATCTACTCCCTGTGCCACCTGGGCACCTTGCTGTCCAGCTCTGGGCCTCAGCTTCTGCTTCTGGCCACAGGATGAGTAATACCTGTGCTGAGGTTGTGAGGATCAAGAGCTATGATGACACTATTATGCTCTAGACTCAGTGGCAGAGCAAGACCCTGTTGCAAAAAAAAGAAAACCTGCACATGCACAGGGCATGCTTCTACCCTATTGTCTTTCATGGCCTGGCGCTGTGCTGGCCCTTGGCTGGGGCACTGCTCATGGTAACAACTCACTGTGATGTGATGTCATCACCCTACTTTGTGATGAGGTTGTCCCTTATCACCTAGCCAGCAGGAGCAGGAGTCAGGTCCACTTAGCTCTGTCAGAGGCCAAAGCCTCTGCTCTATCCCTCCCAAACCACCCCTGACTCCTTTGAGGACACCAGTGGCTCCTTTCCTCCTGGAAAGCTGTCCTGAAAGTGAAGGCCCCCATCACAGAGACCCGCGGAGTGATAGAAACAGCTTTCTAGCCCCCAGTCTGGATGCGATGATGGAACAGAACCCTGCAAGGCCAGAATCTGCAAATCTGAATATAAAAAAAAATCTCCAAATGGAGCTTTACCCTGGAAGTGAGAACAATGTAACCTAAAAATATAATTTGATTTAATTTAAATTTTTTTAAAAAAAATAAAATCTCCCAGAATGACAAAGTGGTGCTCCACAACAAACATCCCCAGACCCGAAGATATTGGAAGAGGCACAGGGAGTACTCAGACCCCCACCGTGGAATGGACAGATGAGGCCTGGAGGCTGTACTCTGGCTGGAGCTGGTGGCCACCAGTCCCCTCAAGAATAGGTTCTAACTCCCCCACCTGTGCCTCCTTCCCCATCAGCCTCCAGTTAAGCCTCCCGAGGCTACCGGGCCGGGGAGCCCCTTTCAAAGACCAGCACCCCCTCCCCTCACACCTTTAGCTCTTGGAGCCACCGAGCTGGCAAGCCATATGGAATAGATTATTTTAATCTGATTATCTTGGCCAAGGATCAGCTGAACACTCACCCAGTGGAAGTCACAGGCAGCAGAGGGGTGACAAGGAGGGAGGGGGTGGGAAGAAAGGGGAGAAATTTGGCAGATTCCAGGAAAGGCTTAACAGGAAGTGCCGATTCCCGTGGACCTGCTCCCCTGCTGACAACACGGCTGAGTGGGTGGCACCTCTCTCCTTAAGGGTGTCAGATTCATGAGCCTCCGCTTCCTCCAGGTAGGTGGGGGTGGGTGGGTCTGAGCCTTAGAGTGAAACGGCAGAAACTGAGGTACAAAGGCAGGGATGTGAGGAAACTCGTCCCGCTGTACAGTGGAGCAGGACTGCCCCTGCCCACTGAGACCCCTCCGACCTCCGCCTTGGCCTGGCGTACCGGCTCTCCGGGGTCTACGCGTTCGAAGCCACGGCCACCAGGGGCCGCTGTCTAGCCGCTG